AAAAAAAAAAAAAGAAACTCACGGATGTTATTTAGAATAAAGGAAAATTGTTTAGCACGACACCTTGGTCTAACGAGGAAACCTAATCCAACATCTCGAGAGGGTCCAAGTTATGTTTAGGGTCCAAGCGTATGCAAATAGGTGGATACCGAGAACGGCCGAGAGTGCAAATAAGTGGCAAACGGAAGATAAGCCCGAATCCCTGTAATCGATTGGAAGAAACTCGCTCCCGGTTTAATTTATCAATTATTACCCTCGGTGAGAGAGAAAGGGTGCAGGATCGCGGGAACCGAACTATAAAAATAACGACGACACGTAGCGAAACACGCATGGCGGGAACCATCAACGAGGGTGGCTTTTAATCGAGCGAATAATACAATGTTTGCTCTGCGAAAAAATAACCACGGTTCAATTTCTTAATCGCGCTTTCGACGAAAGAAAACGAGATGACATTCAGTAACGACAATCAGACAAATATTCGTACGAACGGATATAGGTGCGAACAGATGTTGCCTGGTTCACAAATTTGATTCGAACTGAAATCGATGTTATTTTCGATGCGATTTTAATCTTAAGTTCTTTGAATAAGAATAAGATAAGAATAAGAGATTGTTACGATTCAAGTATATAATGAAATCTTAATAATCCATCGATAAGATATAATTTTAAAGATATAATTTAACGATGATGAAATACGATGCATGATCATTTTATATTTTTTCTTCCCAATTTATGTGTCATTTAAAAATATTATCTCTTCTTTTGTGCGAATACGTACATCTAAAATTGACATAAATATTAAATTTATTATTATTATTAATCTAGTAGATAAATTTCCTATTTATATTTCGATTCGAAAAATATAATGAGATTTATAAAATATTAAGACTTTCATTTATTTATCTTTATTCGTTTGATAATACTAATATTTTCATTTCTTTCGTAATCTTGATTTTTTCTTTTCTTTTTTTTTTTACAATATATCTTAAAATAAATCATTATAAATATCGCTATGTTATATGTGTACTAAATATATGTACGTATAAATTATCAAAAATGAATTTTTATTATAATGAAATGATGAATTTTTTATTATAATGAAAACAAATTAATAAAAATAATGAATTTAAATTTTTTTAAATGAGTTTCTAAATTTAAATGAGTTACATATTCGTATGTTAATGTAAACGATCAAAATTAAAAATTGTATTTTAAATATTAGATCAATAGAAAGGGTAATTTATATCGAAATTATTAAAATGGAAATAACATCAATTATTAAGAATTTCGGATCTTCTAGAATTTCTAAATTGGTAATACGAAATTTTTTATTTGAAAATTATTCAAAGCATCGATTCAGCTTGAAAAATTTATTCGAAATTTATCCATAAACAATTCTATCCAATTCCACATGTTTCATTAAACTGTACACTGATCGAGCTTGTTTAGAGATTCGTGAGTGTTCGGTAAAAATCGGACGATACCGTGCTTAGACGGCTACGAAAAACCGGCTACGACTACTCTCCCCTTTCGTCTTAGAACCAGCTTATTTCGCCCAATGCGAAAGGGACGCGAATCTTTCCTATCAAATTTCGCCATATTATATATATTCGGCTTTGCTTCACGTGCATCGAAATGATAAAAATTCAACGTTTTTTTTTCTCGATCAAGAAAGACGCGAGTGATAAATATTTTTAGAGAAATATTTTATTTATACGGAATTGTGAATCCACCTAACAATCCAAAGATATGTGTAAAATCGGGCAATAAAACTGTTGATATAAAATAGTTGTTCGAAACAAGGAAATGGATGTGTTCTTAAAAACATTCGAGAGATGATCGTGAAAGGGGTCGTTGAACTTTAAAACGTGACCATTGTTGTACGAGCTCTAGCCCCGGTCTTTCGATAGCAAAGCAGACGAAGAATTCGGATATTGAGGTAAGTATGAAGAGGGAGGGAGGGGAGGAGTCGAGAACAAGAGAAAGAAGAAAAGAAAAAACGGATGGGAAGCGGAGTGAAGGAAAGAAGAAGAAAAAAAAATAAAATTGAGAGGTGGGAATAGCTAGTGAAGAAAGCTATTTGTACGAGTCACCGAATATAAATACCAAAGTCGGATTGAATAGTGAGCAGTAGAAGAGTCGATAGTGCATCGAGTCGATTCATATTTTGACTCGTGCGCTGAAATTATATTTTTCTTTCCAATACATCTTATTCGCTTCCTCCATTTAGAATTTCTCTTCTCGCCCATAGATATTATTCCGTAAAAGATATCGTTCGTATAATTTAAAGATTATTTCTTGAATCGTTTATTAGAAATTTAGAATCATATTATCTCAGAAATTCATATCTGCAGCGAAATAAAAATCAAGATGTTCTCGGATGTCGAGGAATACGTGAAAGCCAGCACGATACAATACCGTGACGCAGCCGACATTATCGAGGAATTCGCGCAAGAGATGTCCGAGATGAAAGGGAAATGCTTGGACATAGGTTGCGGACCTGGAATAGTTACCAAAGAACTGATCTTACCAAACTTGTCACCGGAAGCTAAACTAGTCGGTAAGGGAAGTTAAGAAAAGAACGATCGAAAAATCGAAATATCATTCGTTAATATGTTTTGTTAGGGATGGATATATCGAAACCGATGATCGAATATGCGAAAAAGATGTATCACGACGACGAACGCTTATCATTCCAGTTGCTGGACATCGAGACCATGGATTTGCCCAAAGACACATTCGATCAATTTAACAACGTATTGTCCTTTTATTGCCTTCACTGGTGTCAAAACTTTCGGTATTCTTCTACGATTTCATCTTCCTCTACTTTAATTTAATTTCTCTTTATTTAATTTTATCGAATGGTGGAATTTAATAATGTCTCACAACGATCGAATTCATCAGGAAAGCATTCGACAATATTTACAAATTGCTGCGGCCAGGAGGAAAAGGATTGTTTATGTTACTTTCGTGGAACGACGGTTTCGACGTCTACAAAAAATTGTACGCGAATCCTCGATATAGACCATATATGCAGGTAATACGTTTAATATAAAATACAATCGATCGTGTCGTCGGTAATAGATCGATTTTCAATTAATCACACTTGAATCGGTCTTGTCAAAGGACACAGAACGTTACATACCTGTTTTCCATGAATGTAAAGATCGCCGGATAAATCTAAGAAAAATACTGGAAACCACAGGTTTCGAGATTCTGCATTGCAGCGAAAGAGAAAAGACCTATGTTTTCAAGAATTCCGAGATCATGAAAAGTAATTCATATATAATATGTATATTTATATAATTTAAAAAAAAAAAAATTGAACAACCTAATCTAAGATTAACGACGAGACAGGAATATTGAAGATTGAAATTATTATTGCAGATCATATAATTGCTATTACTCCCTTCATATCACGGATTCCCAATACTCTTAAGAAGGAGTTCGAGGATGAAATAACGCGCGAAGTAGTGAACATGAAAATTCAATTTTTGAACAAGAACGAGAACGGTGAACAAGAATACAATATATTGGACAGATATCAGATTTTTGTAACGTATATAAGAAAGCCTGTATGTTGAAAAATTCATTCAACACGTGTTATTCTCAGTCACGTCTCATAAAAATGGAATAGAATAAATATATTATCATATTGATTGTCATCAATGAAATATGTTAATTCTTTTATCAATGAAACATGTTAATTCTTTTATAACTTCATTTTTTTAATGTAAAACATGTTAATTCTCTTGTAACTTCATTTTTTTTTTTTGTAATGATCATGTAAATTTGTCATTAAACAGACAGGGAAACACTTGAAAAGGAAAATAAAATAATTGAATAATGGAGTATCATGTCATCATTTCTACAACACTAAACTTTATTTATTGTACGCTATATCTTTGATTTTACAATACGGTACAGCCATTTATAGAATATCGTTAAAACTCATATATATATATATATATGTGTATGTATATATATATATCGTCGTACGGGTACAAGTGGGTTTTTTATTATTTTTGTTTTTTTTTTTTCTTCTTTTACTGTGTGCTTACGATATCCATAGAAGGAGTAACAATTTTTACTAATGCTTCTTTCTAAAAAATACACCCAAGTTTATAAATCGGTTGAGAAACCGTCGACATCGACGCGTTTCGGTACATTACACGTTTCCTCGAGTTCCGACGAAACTTTCATCACTTTGTGCTTCCGCGATTGGCGAAAATTCGCGTGTATATATTTATACTCGTTTCTCCCGAGAAGAACGGTACCGAAACTCTAAATGGAAGCGACTCGAGATAGTAATACGTTTCGCGATTACTCTTCCCTTCAACTTTCCCCATATCACATCCCACGAAACTGACTGTCACGGATCACGCACAAAGTTTCAACGTGCAGCTTGCCTACCACGTTGTTCCTATATCGCATATACTATCTAAAACATGGACTTATTATTCAAGCGAGAAACAATGTAAATGCGTCGAAATCGAAAAATATCCCGAAATATAGGAAAACAGTCCGAAGGGGGAACGTTAATCGGTAAACTCGCGGCGATGATGGCGCGCGCGACTCGACAGAAAGGTTGAAACGTATATACGTACGTGTGTAAAAAACGGCTCAAAAAATTCTTATCGTTACGGAAGATCTGCGCGAATTTTCACCCCCCGACGACGTGGTCGATCGACGCGTGAACAACTAGCGAAAACGGAGGACTGGCTTGGAAGGTCAACGAACGAAGTCGCGTCAAGCGAATCTCCCGATAATGATATCAATAAATCGCGGGGGAGGATACATCGATACATCGTGAGAGACGAACACAGAACACGGATAATTGCGCAAAGAAGCGAAGACAACGGAACACGTCCGATGCGAATCAACACCGCACGTTGTACCTCGCGTTCCATGGATCAATACCTACGCACGGATATTTCGCGTAGGTATTGTACAGCCGGCCATCGATCAGAGATCGTATTCGTAGCCGAATCGATGATTGCCACGTCTGATCTGCAACGTCCGATTCGAACAGTCAGATTCAAAGCTGTTTTCCGATTTTCTCGCGTGCCAATTCCCTAAAAAAACGCCAGTTGAATGTATCTTTACAGAGATATTACACGTACCGTTAAAGGAAATCAAGTAGATAACGCGTGATACTTGTACGAGCATGGCAGAATTCGAGCCGATCGTTCAGATGCGATAGCAGCCGTAAGAGAATATCATGGAACGTCGGATACGGAAATGTATACGTATATATGGCGAAGAATGGCCGAGGGCAAGGCACGAGTAAATCAGAGTCGAAACTCAGAATCGATACGGCTTAATGGATTTTCTATTTACGATTGAACACCGAATACTTTCATAATCAAGAAATACATTGAGCTCCGAGGTGAAGAGATTCAAAGTCTAGATAGAAAACCGATCCGCTAAACGTCGGGCCAAATTACTCACATCCGATCCAATCCCATGCTCATCTAAGAATTTTAAAAGCGAAATAACGGTTTGATCGCAATTGCGTCCATGCGTATGTTGTTACGAAATACTGCGAAAAATCGAATTTTTGTAGAAAATTAAATTGCTGCGTTAAATCAATTGACGCGCGGCGACTGTATAAAGTAGTTTAAAATATGTATCGGGATAAAATCTTGAGAACGTTACAACGAATAATCCTCCCCTGGCCGGTCTAATGTGGAAACGACTCGTAAATTACGGTTAATAGGTACGCACGGCCAATTAACAATAACCGAGGAAAAGGCGAGGAAATAACTCGTGGACGACCGAAACCCTTCATTTTCTCGGTATGTTGCGTGACGCTCGACGAAAGGAATCGACCGTACCGCGGCATGGAGAGCAACCACGAGGGAAAACAAACTGCGCGCGACACACAAGCTGTCGTTCTAATTTGCGGAAGAAAAACGCGGTTATGCCTCCACACCGCAAACGGATCGAGCGTTATTAATCGTCCGTAAATATTCCGCGGCGATCGATACCGCTGCTTCTTACGCGATACGAAGGGAACAATAAATTTAGCTCGAATAGCTTTCCAAAGGATAACCGGTAAATGAGAGTAAAATATCGGTCAACTCAAACATACAAAGCTAATCGTTATGATGCCGTGATGATCGCGTTGCTCCGTGTCCTCGCATCCAACTACGCTCTAAATCGTTTTAAAATGGAAGGCAAGAATAATTCTGACAAGATATAATAATGTTTGGCAAGATTAATCATCTATGCGTATGACAATAGAAACACTTTACTCGATAATCAAGAAAAAGACCGTATGAACGATAAAATAACCATTGAGAAAATTGTAAGGACGAATCAGCTCGATAGAATGAAAAATCACATTGAACATCGAAGAGTATTCGAAGCATCGAAGAATTGACAAATCTGACGATCTAAAAAGAACGGCTTGTTTTCAAAGATTGATATTTGAACGCGGTCAAAAAGCATCCCGTTCTCCCACATTTGCTTGTATTTCACGCCTTGCCTTACATGTCTCTAGAATAAACCATTCACCACGGGAAAATATCAGACCGATAGAAGAATCGAGTCAGGTACGAAGAATCGTTGTTTTACATGAGATCTTTGTTGTGCGGAAGCCGAATAATTATACGGTATCATAGAAAAAGATTGGGCGTGATAGAAATTTTGTTTATTCGCGCGAGACGCCTGGACAGTATCAGCGAAATTCGCGGGAAAAAAAAATCGATTACCTTTCGAGAGGAAATTGATTTCGAAAGGAACGTGAGCGACGCCAAATCTCCACGATCCTTGATAGGCCGTTTCAATATTACTTACAATTTACATTTGCAATGTGTATCTACGTATGATCCGTATCCGTTGTCGCGTCTCTTTTAATCGAAATCTTGATAAAGAATATTACTCGATCAATCGTAGCCGTTATACGACGTCCGATACGATTCAGCAAGTTTCGCGATTTCTTTTTAACATAGGTTACGCGACAACGTTATCGCACACGAGTAACACAAAATTAGTCTCGCATTAAATCTATGAACAACGACTATACTAGTACTGCCACCTTTTCGCTATTCTACTTATTAATAACATCAACAGCAACAACACATAATATATATCAACATTAATATAATATTTGTCCTCGTAGTCTAGTTCTTTCTTATAGTTATATATTACGTGTGTAATATACATAATGTTCGAACACGTGTACGTTAGCAAACGCATATATTCAGATGATTTTTCGAAGACATGAATATATGTACGCATTATGCATATTACAGGAATATAGGAAGAGGACGAAAAGACGTTCGTCCCAAGCGAATTACGCGACATCTGTATAGTATGGAGCGCGGAGAAAAAATATATATATATATTCGAAGGAAATGCATCGCGCGAGTCGAACCTGACTCGATATTGTATCTCGGAGAATTTTTGCACATCAACTCACGCCTTAAGAAAATATCAACGGTAAGCGCGAGACCAGAATGTTTGCGGCGAAACTGTAAGTACGAATAATCGAAATGATTTCGCACGACTCGCGGTACGCTTATAATCGAGGAACAGATTCTTCACGATTCGATTATACGTAAAACGTTTCGCTATCGACTATACAAGCGTTTAAAGAAATTCACGTCCACGCATCGCCACGATATCTCTGTATCTTTGTTGACAATCTATCGAATATTGTGCTTTCCATTGAATCGCGAGAATCTCCAGGTGCACCTTCCCACCTCTTCTTCCCCCGCCCTATTGAACCCGTTTGGTATCGCAAAAATCAGCGATGCGAAAGACGTGCATCGTTGCGACTAAACGATCGGAAAAACATCGACACATGTATAATGTATATATACGAACATTACATATATGTGTGTGTATATATATATTAATATATATAAACTTCCGATAATCTTGTACGACTTAGCATAATGTACTATTGATTTCTTTCGTGTCGGAACGCTATAGGTAGTCCAATGGCTACCGCTACTTAATTAAATTATATTCGCTTACACTTACATTATCTCATCTTTTAATAGATTATCACTGTTTCTCTCCCGAGTTAAATGTTCTCATCAATCGAGTCCACCGCAACATACAATCTTTCTTTTCCTTCTCCTCTTAGATGAGGAAAGATGGTAACTTGTCGAGAAATGCAATCACGATAAATCAGCATAAACTTAAAGAAATGGTAACTTGTCGTGTACGATCGTTTTCATTCGGATGAATGTCTAAAGTTAACGTTTAAATGGACATGCTTAACTATTTAATACTAAACTGATCCCTTTCAGCCAGATATGCAACATACAATTTAAATATTCATCCTACGATAACAAAAATGCAATATTTTGTGTATAAATTAAATATTCGGTTATTATGAAATTCGAGAGATTTAAGATGCATTCTCTGCATATTTATATAGAACAATCTTGCAATTTTCGCTATCGTTGGTATATCTTCATAATCGCACGCATATTCTCTTTCAATCGACTAATTAAAATCACTCGCATATATTACCAGAAAATTCTATATCTTGAGAAAACAATATATACTCAATCCATACATCGTTGGTTGCATCGACTTATCCAAATTGCAAGTACAATAAAAAAATTTCAAAAAAATTATTACTTTCAAATTATCTTTCCATATAAAATTACGTAAAACGAATGAATAAAATAGAACTACGCAACACGTTTAACCTAATTTCGC